CTCCCAGTCCCCTCCCAGTCCCTCCCAGTAACTCCCAGTCCCCCCCAGTCCCTCCCAGTCCATCCCAGTCCCTCCCAGTCCATCCCAGTCCCCTCCCAGTCCATCCCAGTCCCTCCCAATCCATCCCAGTTCCTCCCAGTCCCACCCAGTTGCCCTCAATGAACTCCCAGTGTCTCCGCAGCTCCCCCTGGTGGCAGCTTTGGGAACTGCAGCGTCCTCCCACCAACTCCTGGTCCATCCCAGTCCCTCCCAGTCCCTCCCAGTCCCTCCCAGTCCATCCCAGTCCCTCCCAGCACCTTTCTCCACCACGGCCAGCCGCAGGGTCTGGTTCCTGGCCAGGCTGTAGGTGTAGCCCAATTCCCTCCCAGTCCATCCCAGTCCATCCCAGTCCCTCCCAGTCCCCTCCCAGTCCATCCCAGTCCCTCCCAGCACCTTTCTCCACCACGGCCAGCCGCAGGGTCTGGTTCCTGGCCAGGCTGTAGGTGTAGCCCTCGAAGGTCAGGTTCCGCTTCAGCCGGCACACGTACTGCCCGGCGTGGCCGCGCTCCACGGCCTTCAGCCACACCGACAGGTCCTGCAGGTCCCGCGTGCCCCGCGAGCCGTTCCAGGCGATCACCCCCAGGAACGGGCCAGGAGCCACCCACTCGCCCTCCTCGGGGCTGTAGTGCAGGATCTGCACCGGTAAAAACCAGTAAAAACCAGTAAAAACCAGTAAAAACCAGTAAAAACCAGTAAGGGTTGCTAGGAAGGGATTGGAAATGGGTTTGGCTCAGTGTCGCCGTCTGGTGGCCGAGTTAGGTATTGCAGTCGTGGATTATTGTGGTTCCAGTAATTTCCAGTAGCTCCCAGTTTAGCCCAGTGACTCCCAGTATGGCCCAGTGGCTCTCCAGGGTCTCTGCAGTAGCTCCCAGTTCCTCCCAATACATCCCAGTTGTCTTCCCAGTAGGTTCCAGTAGCTCCCAATCATGGATTATTGTGGTTCCAGTAATTCCCAGTAGCTCCCAGTTTAGCCCAGTGACTCCCAGTATGGCCCAGTGGCTCTCCAGGGTCTCTGCAGTAGCTCCCAGTTCCTCCCAATACATCCCAGTTGTCTTCCCAGTAGGTTCCAGTAGCTCCCAATCCCCTCCCAGTCCATCCCAGTCCCCTCCCAGTCCATTCCAGTCCCCTCCCAGTCCATCCCAGTCCCCTCCCAGTCCATTCCAGTTCCTCCCAATCCCCCCAGATTCCCTCCCAGTCCATCCCAGTCCCCTCCCAGTCCCTCCCAGCTCATCCCAATTCCCCTCAATGAACTCTCAGTGTTTCCCCAGCTCCCTCTGGTGGTGGTTTTGGGAACTGCAGTGTACTCCCAGTAACTCCCAGTCCATCCCAGTTCATCCCAGTCCCCGTCCAGTTCCTCCCAGTTTGTCCCAGTCCCTCCCCAGTCCCTCCCAGTCCCTCCCAGTTCATCCCAGTCCCCCTCAATTCCCCCCCAGACCATCTCAACGAACTCCCAGCTCCCCCTGGTGGCAGCTTCGGGAACTGCACCACCCTCCCAGTTCCCTCCCAGTTTGTCCCAGTTTGTCCCAGTCCCTCCCAGTTTGTCCCAGTCCCTCCCAGTTCCCTCCCAGTTCATCCCAGTCCATCCCAGTTCCCTCCCAGTTCATCCCAGTCCATCCCAGTTCCCACCCCTTCCCAGTCCCTCCCAGTTTGTCCCAATCCCCTCCCAGTCCCTCTCAACGAACTCCCAGCTCCCCCTGGTGGCAGCTTTGGGAACTGCAGCGTCTTCCCAGTTTGTCCCAGTCCCTCCCAGTCCATCCCAGTCCCCTCCCAGTCCCTCCCAGTTTGTCCCAGTTCCTCCCAGTTCATCCCAGTCCCTCCCAGTTCATCCCAGTCCCCCCCAATTCCCCCCCAGTCCATCTCAATGAACTCCCAGCTCCCCCTGGTGGCAGCTTTGGGAACTGCAGCATCCTCCCAGTTTGTCCCAGTCCCTCCCAGTTCATCCCAGTCCCCCCCAATTCCCCCCCAGTCCATCTCAATGAACTCCCAGCTCCCCCTGGTGGCGGCTTTGGGAACTGCAGCATCCTCCCAGTTTGTCCCAGTCCCTCCCAGTTTGTCCCAGTCCCTCCCAGTCCATTCCAGTCCCCTCCCAGTCCCTCCCAGTTTGTCCCAGTCCCTCCCAGTGACCTTCTCGAAGTGGGGGGCCCCCTCGGGCCGGAAGAACCACTCGCTCTCGGCCTCGGCCGGGGTCTCGCTGCGGCGCTTGCAGGCGATGCAGAGCAGCCGGAACGGCGCCCCCAGCACGGCCTCGGTGCCCGAGGCCACCTCCACGCACCCGCCCAGCGCCCCCGACACTGCGGGAGGGGACAAGGGGGGGTCAGGGAGGAATTCCCGAATTTTCCCAAAATTCCAAAAAAAATCTGGCGAAATTCCGGCGAAATTTGGCAAAAAAACCTTCAAAAATCCACTGCGAAACGGATCAAATCCACCCAAAATCCACCCCTCAGGACCCCCAAAATTAGAGGGAGGGGGACAAGGGGGGGTCAGGAAGGAATTCCCGAATTTTCCCAAAATTCCAAAAAAAATCTGGCGAAATTCCGGTGAAATTCCGGCAAAATTTGAGCAAAATTTGGCAAAAAAACCTTCAAAAATCCACTGCGAAAGTGATAAAATTGACCAAAAATGGACTCAAAATCCACCCCCAGGACCCCCAAAATTAGAGGGAGGGGGACAAGGGGGGGTCAGGAAGGAATTCCCAAATTTTCCCCAAAATTCCAAAAAAAATCCGGCGAAATTCCGGTGAAATTCTGGCAAAATTTGAGCAAAATTTGGTAAAAAAACCTTCAAAAATCCACCCCAAATTTGTTAAATTGACCCAAATTGGACCCAAAATCCACCCCCAGGACCCCCAGAATTAGAGGGAGGGGGACAAGGGGGGGTCAGGAAGGAATTCCCGAATTTTCCCCAAATTCCAAAAAAAATCTCACAAAATTTTGGTGAAATTTGGCCGAAATTTGGTCCAAAAATTCCCCCAAAATGGACCCAAAATCCAACTCCGAGACCCCAAAAATGGGGAGGGGAACAAGGAGACCTAAAAAATCCCCAAATTCCAAAAAAATCCCCAAATTCCCCCAAAATTTGCCCAAAATTTGCCCAAAAATCACTAAAATTGACCCCTAATCAAAAATTCACCTAAAATAGACCCAAAATCCCCCAAAATTGCCCCAAAATTCACCCTGGGCAACCCAAAATTTGGGATTGGGAGATCAAGGATTCCGGAATTCCCAAAAAATCCAAAAAAAAAAATCCCAAAATTGGCCAAAAATTCATCAAAATCTGGCCCAAAACCCCCCAAAATTGCCCCAAAATTGGCTCATTTGGACATTTTGGGGTCCCAGGTGACGTTTGGGGACATTTTGGGACACTTTGGGGGTCCCTTGGGGACATTTTTGGGGTCCCAGGTGACATTTTGGGACATTTTGGGGACATTTTGGGGACATTTTGGGGACATTTTGGGGACATTTTGGGGACATTTTGGGGACATTTTGGGGACATTTTGGGGACATTTTGGGGACATTTTGGGGACATTTTGGGGACATTTTGGGGACATTTTGGGGACATTTTGGGGACATTTTGGGGACATTTTGGGGACATTTTGGGGACATTTTGGGGACATTTTGGGGACATTTTGGGGACATTTTGGGGACATTTTTGGAGTCCCCCCCAAAATTCACCCTGGGCAACCCAAAATTTGGGATTGGGAGATCAAGGATTCCGGAATTCCCAAAAAATCCAAAAAAAAAATCCCAAAATTGGCCAAAAATTCATCAAAATCTGGCCCAAAACCCCCCAAAATTGCCCCAAAATTGGCTCATTTGGACATTTTGGGGTCCCAGGTGACGTTTGGGGACATTTTGGGACACTTTGGGGGTCCCTTGGGGACATTTTTGGGGTCCCAGGTGACATTTTGGGACATTTTGGGGACATTTTGGGGACATTTTGGGGACATTTTGGGGACATTTTTGGAGTCCCCGGTGACATTTTGGGTACATTTTGGGTACATTTTGGGGACATTTTGGGGACATTTTTGGAGTCCCTGGTGACATTTTGGGGACATTTTGGGACAATCTGGGGACATTTGGGGGTCCCTGGTGACATTTTTGGGACATTTTGGGGGTCCCAGGTGACATTTTTGGGACATTTTGGGGGTCCCACGTGACATTTGGGGACATTTAGGGGACATTTGGGGACATTTTGGGGACATTTTGGGGGTCCCACGTGACATTTGGGACATTTTGGGGAATTTGGGGACATTTTGAGGACATTTGGGAACATTTTGGGGACGTTTTGGGGACATTTTTGGGACATTTTGGGGGTCCCACGTGACATTTGGGACATTTTGGGTAATTTGGGGACATTTTTGGGACATTTTGGGGGTCCCGCGTGACATTTGGGGACATTTTGGGGGTCCCACGTGACATTTGGGGACATTCTGGGGAATTTGGGGACATTTTGGGGACATTTGGGGACATTTTGGGAACATTTTGGGGACGTTTTGGGGTGGGACATGGGACATTTTTGGGACATTTTGGGGGTCCCATGTGACATTTGGGGACATTTTGGGGGTCCCAGGTGACATTTTGGGGGTCCCACGTGACATTTGGGGACATTTTGGGGACATTTGGGGACATTTTGGGGTCCCCGGTGACAATTTTGGGGACATTTTGGGACATTTTGAGGTCCCCGGTGACAATTTTGGGGACATTTTGGGACATTTTGGGGTCCCCGGTGACATTCGGGGGGTCCCGAACTCACCCTCGAGGAGCCCGAGGAGCAGCGACAGCAACATGGCGGCACTTCGGCAATTTCCGGACACCTTCGGCTCTTTCCGCCCCGCTTCGTGCTCGGTTCGGTTCTTTCCGACCCTCCCCGGGCTCCCTTCGTCTACTTCCGGCCCGCTTCGCTTACTTCCGACCCAGTTCGGTTCTTTCCGGCCCGGTTCGGTTCTTTCCGTACAGCTCCGTCCTTACTTCGGTTATTCCTCGCCCGCTTCGGCTCTTTCCGGACAACTTCGCCTCTTTTCGGCCCGGTTCTGATTTCTCCGGCCTAGCTGGGCCCAGTTCGGCCCAGTTTGGGCCCAGTTCAGCGTCTCCGGCCCCCTCAGCCCCCTGCCCGGCCCATGGGCCCCTCCCCCGCCGCAGGAGGAGGACGAGGATGAGGAGGACGAGGAGGAAGAGCCCGGGACGGGTCCGAGGAGCCGCTTCAAGGCATGGCCGGACCCTCAGGCGGGTCCGCTTCGGCTCCGCTTCGGCTCTTTTCGGCTCCGCTCCGTCGCCGCCGTTCGGCTCTTTCCGGCTCCCGCTTCGCCGCCTCTCGGCTCCTCTTCGGCTCTTTCCGGCTCTTTCCGGCTCCGCTCGGTCCCGGCGCACTGCGGCGCCCGAGGGGGGGGCGGGACGGGCGGATTGACGTCATGAAGTGGGCGTGGTCTCGGCCGAGCCGGACTCCGCCCACTCCCGGTGTCCCCGAGAGGGTCGCGGTGTCCCCAAGGCCACCCCGGGGTGTCCCCGAGGGCGTCGCCGTGTCCTGGTGGCCCCAAGGAGCGTCCAGGTGTCCCCGAGGTGTCCCCAAGGTGTCCCCAAGGCCATCCCGGTGTCCCCGAGGTGTCCCCAAGGTGTCCCCGAGGTGTCCCCAAGGCCAGTCCCGTGTCCCCGAGGTGTCCCCAAGGTGTCCCCAGGGCCAGCCCCGTGTCCCCAAGGTGACCCCAAGGTGTCCCCAAGGCCAGCCCCGTGTCCCCAAGGTGTCCCCAAGGTGGCCCCAAGGCCATCCCGGTGTCCCCAAGGTGTCCCCGAGGTGTCCCCGAGGTGTCCCCGAGGTGTCCCCAAGGCCAGCCCCGTGTCCCCGAGGTGTCCCCAAGGCCAGCCCCGTGTCCCCGAGGTTGTCCCCATGTCCCCAGCCATGTCCCTGTGTCCCTGCGGGTGTCCCCAGGGGTGTCCCCGTGTCCCCAAAGTGTCCCCATGCCCCCAGGGGTGTCCCCAAACCCATCCCAGTGTCCCCAAGGGTGTCCCCAGCCATGTCCCGGTGTCCCCAAAGTGTCCCCATGCCCCCAGGGGGGTCCCCAAACCCATCCCAGTGTCCCCAGGGGTGGCCCCAGCCATGTCCCCGAAGTGTCCCCAAGCCCTTCCCAGTGTCCCCAGGGCCGCCCCCAGTGTCCCCAAAGTGTCCCCGAGTCCCTCCCGGTGTCCCCAGGGGTGTCCCCAGCCATGTCCCCGAAGTGTCCCCAAGCCCTTCCAGTGTCCCCAGGTCCCTCCTGGTGGCCCCAAAGTGTCCCCAAGTCCTTCCCAGTGTCCCCAGGGCCACCCCCAGTGTCCCCAAAGTGTCCCCGAGTCCCTCCCGGTGTTCCCAGGGGTGTCCCCATGTCCCCAAAGTGTCCCCATGTCCTTCCCGGTGTCCCCAAGGGTGTCCCCAAGTCCCTCCCAGTATCCCCAGGGATGTCCCCAAGCTGTCCCCAAGTCCCTCCCGGTGCCCCCAGGGGTGTCCCCATGTCCCCAAATTGTCCCCAAGTCCCTCCCAGTGTCCCCAAGGGTGTCCCCAGCCATGTCCTGGTGTCCCCAAAGTGTCCCCAAGTCCCTCCCAGTGTCCCCAGGTCCCTCCTGGTGTCCCCAAAAAAATCTCCAACGCTCTTGCTCCGGTCTCAGCTTTACTTTAATGTCCCCAGGGGTGTCCTTGAGGTGTCCCCAGGTGTCCCCAGGGGTGTTCCCGCGTGTCCCCATTTCCCCAGGGGTGTCCCCAGGTGTCCCCGCGTGTCCCCAGGTGTCCCCAGGGGTGTCCCCAGGTCCCCAAAGTGTCCCCATGTCCCTTCTGGTGTCCCCAAAAAATCTCCAACACTCTCGCTCCGGTCTCAGCTTTATTTTAATGTCCCCAGGTGTCCCCGGGGGTGTCCCTGGGTGTCCCCAGGTGTCCCCGGGGGTGTCCCCAGGTGTTCCCAGGTGTCCTTGAGGTGTCCCCAGGTGTCCCCGCGTGTCCCCAGGTGTCACTTGTAGAACTCGTGCTCCTGCTCGTCCTTCTTGATGACGGTTTTGTACGCCTTCTCAAAGTCCTTGGCCAGCACGATGTACCTGTTCTCCCTGACGGCCAGCATGCCGCCCTGGGGACACGGACAGGGTCACCTGAGTGTCACCTGAGTGTCACCTGAATGTCACCTGTGTCACCTGGGACACCCACAGCCAGCCACAGCCAGCCCTGTGTCACCTGTGTCACCTGCACTGAGCTACAGGCACACCTGTGCCAGCCCCTGTGCCTGTTCTCCCTGACGGCCAGCATGCCGCCCTGGGGACACGGACAGGGTCACCTGAGTGTCACCTGAGTGTCACCTGAATGTCACCTGTGTCACCTGGGACACCCACAGCCAGCCACAGCCAGCCCTGTGTCACCTGTGTCACCTGCACTGAGCTACAGGCACACCTGTGCCAGCCCCTGTGCCTGTTCTCCCTGACGGCCAGCATGCCGCCCTGGGGACACGGACAGGGTCACCTGAGTGTCACCTGAGTGTCACCTGAATGTCACCTGTGTCACCTGGGACACCCACAGCCAGCCACAGCCAGCCCTGTGTCACCTGTGTCACCTGCACTGAGCTACAGGCACACCTGTGCCAGCCCCTGTGCCTGTTCTCCCTGACGGCCAGCATGCCGCCCTGGGGACACGGACAGGGTCACCTGAGTGTCACCTGAGTGTCACCTGAATGTCACCTGTGTCACCTGGGACACCCACAGCCAGCCACAGCCAGCCCTGTGTCACCTGTGTCACCTGCACTGAGCTACAGGCACACCTGTGCCAGCCCCTGTGCCTGTTCTCCCTGACGGCCAGCATGCCGCCCTGGGGACACGGACAGGGTCACCTGAGTGTCACCTGAGTGTCACCTGAATGTCACCTGTGTCACCTGGGACACCCACAGCCAGCCACAGCCAGCCCTGTGTCACCTGTGTCACCTGCACTGAGCTACAGGCACACCTGTGCCAGCCCCTGTGCCTGTTCTCCCTGACGGCCAGCATGCCGCCCTGGGGACACGGACAGGGTCACCTGAGTGTCACCTGAGTGTCACCTGAATGTCACCTGTGTCACCTGGGACACCCACAGCCAGCCACAGCCAGCCCTGTGTCACCTGTGTCACCTGCACTGAGCTACAGGCACACCTGTGCCAGCCCCTGTGCCTGTTCTCCCTGACGGCCAGCATGCCGCCCTGGGGACACGGACAGGGTCACCTGAGTGTCACCTGAGTGTCACCTGAATGTCACCTGTGTCACCTGGGACACCCACAGCCAGCCACAGCCAGCCCTGTGTCACCTGTGTCACCTGCACTGAGCTACAGGCACACCTGTGCCAGCCCCTGTGCCTGTTCTCCCTGACGGCCAGCATGCCGCCCTGGGGACACGGACAGGGTCACCTGAGTGTCACCTGAGTGTCACCTGAATGTCACCTGTGTCACCTGGGACACCCACAGCCAGCCACAGCCAGCCCTGTGTGACCTACAGCCACACCTGTGTCACCTGTGTCACCTGCACTGAGCTACAGCCACACCTGTGCCAGCCCCTGTACCTGTTCTCCCTGACGGCCAGCATGCCGCCCTGGGGACACGGACAGGGTCACCTGAGTGTCACCTGAGTGTCACCTGTGCGTCACCTGTGTCACCTGAGTGTCACCTACAGCCAGCCACAGCCAGCCCTGTGTCACCTGCACTGAGCTACAGCCACACCTGTGCCAGCCCCTGTACCTGTTCTCCCTGACGGCCAGCATGCCGCCCTGGGGACAATGGCACCTGTGTCACCTGAGTGTCACCTGTGTCACCTGTGTCACCTACAGCCAGCCACAGCCAGTGCCCCACACCTGTCCCAGGTGTGCCCTCACCTCCTGGCAGATGGAGTTGATGTCGGCCCCCGAGATCTTGTCCGGCCGCGCCACGTCTGGGTCAGGGGTCAAGGAGACGGCCAGGTGTGCCCAGGTGTGCCCCTGGCACGTCCAGGTGTGCCCAGGTGTGCCCTTGGCATGCCCAGGTGTGTCTTTAACCCCGCCCAGCCGTTCCCAGGTGTGCCCAGGTGAGGATACAGTCCTCCAGGTCCGCCTCCTCGGACAGGTGTGTGCCCAGGTGTGCTCCCATCCCCCCCAGGTGTGCCCAGGTGTGCTCCTAACCCCCCAGGTGTGCTCCGGTGTGCTACCAGGGCACCTGAGGGACACCTGGGGGACACCTGGGGACACCTGGGGATACCTGAGGGACACCCGGGGGACACCTGGGCACACCTGGGGACAACCCCTGGAATTGCTGACCCAGGTGTGCCCAGGTGTTTGTGTGGTCGGTGGCCATGATCACCTGGGCACAGGTGAGGGGTCAGGGCGCACCTGGGCACAGGTGAGAGCCCCAAAACCCCAGAAAACCCCAAAAAAACCAAAAACCCCCCCCCAAAAAATCACATAAAACCCCGTAATTCCCAATCCAGCTGTGCCCAGGTTTGGTGGCCGTGGTCACCTGGGCCACACCTGGGCACACGTGGGGACACCTGGGCACACCTGGGGACACCTGGGGACACCTGAGGGACACCTGAGGACACCTGGGGGACACCTGGGGACACCTGGGTGCACCTGAGGGACACCTGGGGACACCTGGGCGCACCTTGACGTTGACGTTCTGGTCGAAGCCGTCCATCTGGTTGAGCAGCTCCAGGAGGATCCGTTGGACCTCGCGGTCGGCTTGGGGCGAAAAACGGGAATTTTGGGGACCTCCGGATTTAGGGGATTCCACCCAAAACCCCAAATTCCACCCAAAACTCCAAATTCTATCCAGGTGAACCCAAAATTCCATCCAGG